TGGGAAGGGCGTGGCGCAAGCAAAGCACTGTTATGCAACTAAGGCATGTTGAAGTGTATCAGGTACGAATTACATTCATTGCCTGTTTGCAAGTAATGCGTCTTGTCAAACACTTTTGCTGCTCACACTTCGGCTTTGTTTGGACGGCGAGCAGCTCCTTTGGGTAGGTGCTAAATTTGCTGGCCAGGGAGGGAGAGGTGGGAGAGGCCAGCAAATTAGCCGATGACTCCCACCTCAACCCACCAGCTGCGGCATTAAAAGCAATTTCGAGTTGACTCCAAACCACATTGAAGAACTGTATGCACGAACACAAGCAACTTATTTAAACTGCATTCCAAAGTTGCAAGAACTACTGCACAGCTCATTCGGAGTTTTTTGGAGAAGAGAAAAAGGTTGGCTAAATTTTTTGGCGCAAAAAAATTTTCCAAGCTTAATGTACTTAAAGCGCTATCATGGATGACAGCTTGCTTAAGTCCCTACGCTTTTGACGCCAATCTTTAGATAACTCGAGACCACAAACCGCACAAGAAGAGAACACGCACAGCGACGAATCCGATCGAACGGTGTGAACACTCACGCTGTCTTTTTCCGCAAAGTCGGACATGGGGTTGTCACTGTTCAGGTCTCTTGTACGAACTGCACGCTTTGCCCTCATGGGAAGGGCGTGGCGCAAGCAAAGCACTGTTATGCAACTAAGGCATTTTGTCAAGCTCTTTCACTGCTCACACTTCCCCCCTTTGTCCGCCATTTGTCCCATTGCCGAAGCCAGGATGAAGTGCATGCACTGCCTAACGAAACTGGTGTCAGCAAGGACCTCGTTGAAGGCTGTGGAACCTTTCCGCGATGGTTCGTCCGCAGGGTTTGAGCTAGATGGCACACGGGCTACCCAGGGTGTGACGCTTAAAGAATCCTCTGTTCTCAACGAGGCACCAACGAGCTCATGGGCCGGGCGCGACCTTGCCCGTCCGGAGATGGCGACATCCCGAGCTGAGTTGTTGTCCACGAAGATCAAACAAGGAGAATTCCGTATTTTATCTTCCCAGAGTTTCAAAGCCACAATGATTGCTAAAAGCTCGCCTTCGAAAATCACCGTCTTCTTTCCAGGGAAACCCAGGGCTTTTAGTTCCGGGCCATCCAAGCACAACGAAAAGCGTTTCCCTGCAGGAGTCGATGCTGTGCCCCCGAGCTCTCTGATCTGTGCCGGGATGCGAGGCTCCCACTTGGATTTTCCTTTTCCTTTGTTGTAAGGCCCGGATGAAAACCCTCTGTCACGATGCGTCCACTTACCTTTCCCTGAGCCTTTTTCCCAAGAACCTTTTTCATGCCACCTGCCTTTAATTAATTGGGTTTTGGTTCAGGCTTCACCTTCGCCGACAACGGAATGAGTGAAAAGGAAACTTCATACGATGTCAAGGCTTGCATCAGCTGTACATCAAGTGGCCTCACCCCGGTAGCATCCCTCCGAGGCTTCACACTCTGCTCAATGACCTTCCTCCAAGCTTCCTTGTCGGCATTCACAATTTGCGCAATCGTGCATCTCTGGTAACCCTGAGGTGGCTCTCGGTGCAAGTGCTCAAAAAATGTCTGAACATACCTATCGTGCTCGATGAAACCCATGCAATCCCCAAAATCAAGAGCAATGCCTCGACGCTTCAATGCCTCAAGTACTTGCAAAGATGTGTGAGCCGGCACCTCGAGTTTATCCTCCTTGTCCTTGACCACGATCTTGTTCGCTTCGATGTCAAGAATACGATCAGGTGTCTTCAATGAAGTTAACTCGTGAACCCTGGAAACACAACGTTCAGGTGCAAGATACTTCCATAGAACCGCTCATTGAGACTCCGGCCAACCTGTTCTTTACCAATGTCATCCTGGCTTCCCGCTCTGCCTGTGGAATCCTCTTTACTGCCGTGTCAGGAGCCGTAACCTGCTCTTTTAGGATCGCCAACAGCTGTGTTTGTGTTTGACTCTCAAAGGTCACCCTGCGCACTCGCAACCGCCCCCATCGTGGCCCGAGGATCTAGGGTCCTGACCCACTGTGCGAAGGCGTCATGGTCGATCGCTTGTCCCGGCTGTCCGAAACTGTAAGACAAGGTGGCAAGAGTGTTGATTCCGTTTCCTTTCAAAGCATCTCTCAAAGTGTCCGGCACCTTGCACTCTGCGATCCTCAAGTCGAATTGAGCCTCACTATCCAAGAGCAGGGCCATTGCTTGCCGACTGGAATCCCTGCGTGAGTCAAACAAATGTCCTGCAGGTTACAAGATGAACTGAACTCAGCACTTGACAAAGTTAGAAAGTGAAGTTAGAGAAGTGAAGCGACATGAAAGCCTAGTTCGCCACAAACATATGAGCATCCGGCGAAAACCCTCGGTCGAGTAGGTTTAAATTCACATTCCTATACATCAACACGTCTCCTTGATCCGACAGCACGCATGGCTGAGTGTGCACTACACATGCTCACAACCAAGCGCCAAGCTCAGCAAAGGTGAAAAAGCCCATACACAACATCCAAGCTCAAGGAATGCAAAACATGAACAAGAACGAAAACCGCTTCCAATTCTTCACCGATCATACTAAATGCCTTCACCGGCCCTCAACAGCAACAATTATGTCACGTCACTCGCATGGTGGCCAATCCAACATGAGCCAACAGACCCTAAAAGGCCATTTTTTGGGGGTGGCCTTTTTAAGCCCAAAAAGCAACGAAAACAAGCCAAAAAGGCCACCCCGACAAAGTGCCTCTGAAAGGGTTCGTTGGCCTTTCTTGGATGACTTCACCGTCACACAACCTCGCATGGGTCGTTCACCCTATTTCACACAGGCGCACGCCTCCAAGACTCATTCGCCGCTTGGCTTCTTCTTAAGGCACAATTTGCACATGACGTTCCACGCCGTGGCCTCCGAAGAAAGGCTGTAGGCATCTGTCAAGCGCTTTCCACAAGCGAGATACCTATATGTCAAACACTCGTCTTGCTCAGGAAGCAAATGCAAGATGTGTGACTTGCGATGCACATACCAAGACTCAGATTTGGGCACACGAGGTCGGAACCTCTTGACCTTCATAGGTGGCTCCTCATTGCACGAAGACTCAGGCGAATCTGCGTCCCCTGAAGAGCTCTCTGAAGACGAGTCATCCAGAACCACAAGCTCCGCCTGGTGTTCGGGACCCCGAATCGATGAACTCCGTTTTGACATCATCCCGAACTCCCGCCGCCTCGCTTGCGGCCTGCTGCCCAGCCTCAGGGGAAGTGTCCTGCCTCTTGGCAAAGTAAGCGCTGCGCGGAGCATCCGGGTTGAAATCACCATTATAAATAGCATCCACAATGGACTGCAGCTCACGTGTGGGCGCCACACAAAGATCCCGTGAGTAGAAGGCATAGGTACCAGTGGTGGCGCTTGCATGCCGGCCCACAATGGATCTTGAGTTCTCTGAAAGTCCAAACTTTGCAGCCCAAGTCAGAACAGTAGCTTTAGCCGAATGGGAAGTGACTATCTGTTCATGCTCATCACTTGCCTTGTCCAAGATGCCCACCAGTGCTCTCAAGAACGCCGAGGCCTCTCCCGTTGTCATGGGCCTTTTGCAAAACAATTCATAGCGGTGACTATGACTAGGAGCAGGAAACAGCGGCTTCCCCACAGGCCCTTCCAACACCAGGCCAAGTTCATCGAATATCTCCGTAGCAACGTCCAACCAGACCTTCCCATCGACTCCCCTTGCAGGAATGAGGATGGGCATGAGCTGGGCCCTTCTCTCTGCCGTCTTGCTAGTTTTATGATGGGAAGTACGGATCTCCAAGAACCCTCCTGACGAGTTGAAGTCTGGTGCAATCGAATGAACCTTGGCCAAATCACTCACTATGCCTACAACGACCATAGATCGCAAGCAGGAAGTACACGGCCGCGCCTCTGTCCACAATGTTTCTGCCTTGGTCATACGCAACATCATGCAGCCGCTTCACCTGTGCAACCGTCAGCGGCAGGGCCTGCTTGAGCATCCGCTTCTTTGCATGGAGCTGTTCACTGAGTCCGGACAACCTTCTGCTTGCAGTTACGTGTGACAAAGATTCAAAACCTAGAATGTGTTGAGCAAAGCGGAATGCAGACAAGCAAGAAACCGCTCTGGTGGCCGGGGCCTTGCTGCTCTTCAGCTCGCAGAAATATTCCCACGCAATGCGCTCAACAAAAGGGTTTGCATCAACATGTCCACGTTTTGCACACCATCTCAAAAAGGAGAGAAGTGAGTTTGCCCTCTTCACAACTGTACAAGGCGATCGTAACCCCACAACTGCAGCAACAATTCCTGAGGCACCTTCCAATTGCTGTTGCTCTGAGCCCAGGGCGATGATTTGGCGGCCGACTACGCTGGCAAGCAAGGAATGCCGAAGAACAATCAACAGTTTGCAAATGGCCGCATCCATCAAAGAATCACGTTGTTCATCGTATGTCTTGTCATCAAGATTTTGCACAACCGAAGTGTAAATGACAGCTGAGGTCTGCACAATCATCGTTTGCGACACTGTGTCATCCACAACTGTTTCCACGGCATGCTGAGGAGGCACATGCTCCAGGTCAGAAATACCAACCATAGGTGTCACAGGGGTGGTCAAAACGGAATCGCTGAAAATCTGCTGAGCCACACCTGTTTCCCAAGGAAGCTTGATATCACAAAACTTTGCATTGCTGATAAACGAAGATTCAAAGAAAGCTCGATTCGATTGGCTTGCAAGGGTTGGAGGAGGCCCAGAACCAGTGTCAACATCTTCGGGCATCGCAGGTCCAGGGGCCTCTTGGTCCGAAACATGTTGGAGTGAGGGAAGGGGTTCACCCTCCTCGACTTCGCTTCCATTATGCTCAAAGTCGGTTCCCTCTAAGCCCCACTCCTCTGGATCCAACCCATCGCCAAACATGGCAGCCCACCCGCGCCCCTCGCGAGACTAGCGGCTACCATCTAATCGGCATACGCTAACCCCCCTTTGAGAGGCCAGCAAATTAGCCGATGACTCCCACCTCAACCCACCAGCTGCGGCATTAAAAGCAATTTCGAGTTGACTCCAAACCACATTGAAGAACTGTATGCACGAACACAAGCAACTTATTTAAACTGCATTCCAAAGTTGCAAGAATTATTGCACAGCTCATTCGGAGCTTTTTGGAGAAGAGAAAAAGGTTGGCTAAATTTTTTGGCGCAAAAAAATTCCAAGCTTAATGTACTTAAAGCGCTATCATGGATGACAGCTTGCGTCCGTTTTTACTTCTTTTGCCTTTGTCTTGTTTACGCACATTATTCTTTTGTATTCTTTTGATTGGGAGAGTGCACTGTATTGGCCACTTGGTGACAATATCAGTGGTGCGATATAGAAATGCACAGATCCTGTCGCCGGGTCTGATTTTCGTATCATCAAGGTGGTGGAGGCCAATAGCATTGTTGTAGCAAAGGAAGTTGCATTTGGGTCCATCATTCTCAAGGACGTAAAAGTGATCTGCAGGTTGGTGTTCCCCATAAAGCGGGTCACTCCCCTGGTGAACAACAACAGAGACACATTTCCATGATAGACCCTTCGCAAAGAAGGGGTCTTTTCCAATAAAGGTAGCGTAGTGAAGTGCTTGCGGATGGAACTCTCTTGGAAACTGAAGCCAGACTAGTTTGCATGTGGACTCGGTTTCAACAATTCAAGAGCTGTCAGAAGCACAATCTTGACAATTCGGGAGAGAGTCATGTATAGATTCTGCCGTTCCTGGAAGCAGATTCTCAGTCCATGGTACTGCAGCGTTAAAATATTCATGACTGTCTGCTTGGGATATGATTGGCTCTAATACAATGAAAGTTGGGACTTCATGGCTAGCTTTTTTGCCACAGACCCGACAGGTGAAAGCAACGTTAGAGCTGGCTTTCTCTTTAAAGGGAGAAGGGAGTGTTGCAACAATAGAGTCAAAGGTGCGTTTTACCTCCCCATGCGCTACAAGTGGTAGCGCGGCGATCGAAAGGGCAAGATAATGTTTATCAAAGGGCAGGGTTTTCACACCAACTGCAGTAGTCCAGCCTCGCGCAACAGCAATCATTGCTTGATGAACAATATGATCCTCAAAATCAACCGGCTCTTGCCAGTCTGCTTTAGAGAGCAGTCGTAGCGCTGTAGTATAGAAGCAAGCTGTGGAATTGAGATTGTCAAAGAGCTTCGCTGCCTGTATAAGGTCATCTTCTCCAAATTCCATGTTAACGAGGGAAACTTTGCTGGCAACAAGTTGTTTCAGTGTATGCAAATGTGCCAGTATTCTGCGCCCTGTGAAGGAAGAAGAAAGATTGTCCAACGCGGGTACGATAGGGTCCTCCAGGAGATTCTTGACAGACTTGCTTTTGCGAATCTCATGTTCTTCTGGTTGCTCATTCTGGCCAAGCAAAGTTGCACCCGTGTCGTGAAAGGTAGTGTCTATTCTTGGAGCAATCCGTTCCCCAACTTTGCACTCAGAGCAAACTTCCTTAGCTCCATTTGTTGGCTCTTTAGCATCTTGCATAACGATTTCTTCAATGATCGAAGTGTCAAGGCTGCAATCAATCTCTTGAGGGGCGCTAAGAGCAAAGTGGGTCTCTAGCGTGCTTTTTTCTCCTGTAGATACATCAGCAAGAGACGGGTCTGGCTCAGTTGGAAGATGGTCAGAATATTGACAAACCTCTTTCGCCCAAACAGGATTAAAGAGATGGTCTTGAATGAGGTGAGCAGCGCCGGTAGTACCTTGCAACGTCTGCTGCGAGGTCTGACTGTGAAGGTAGGCATTTTCATCTTTTTTGAGACGACTTGAGTCAGTCTCAATCTTTCTTTCTTTATCTTCTCTAGTACTGGGGTCAATGAGTCGGTCACCATGACAGACCTCGCCCTTGCTGCCATGAAGGGAGATTAAGGTTTCTTCCTGACTTGTATGACAAATGTCGCTTGCAGGTTCAACATCAATTTGTGTAGATGCGACGTTGTCAGCAGCATAGTCTGCGACATTGTCTTCTGTAAAAAACAAGGCATCCGGCTCAGGTGTGCTTACAGAGGGATGATTAGCACCTTGTGAGAGCAAACCTCTGTTGCTTTTTCTTAAGTCAACACCTGAGATTGGTTCTCTACCTTGTTCTTTAAATTGTACTTTAGGCTGCTCTGTGGGCTGATTATCGAGTAGGCTATTCTTTTCGAGTTTGCCAGTTAGTGTCTTATGTGTGTCAAAAGCCCCTGGCAACTTGGGAACTGGCACTTTCCTTACAAGGGCTTCTAGAGAAGAGTGCCCTCTTTTGGCAATTGCTGTGCCCTGTGGACTAGCATAATTATCTGCAGGGGAGTCGAGAGGGCTGATCTCATACGTTGCAGTGCCATCTTCCCTAACTGTCGCAGGAGGTGTTGTTTGTTGTGGACTAGTAGCGACTTGCTGGAGTCGTTTGCTGCCAATAGTAGACTTTTGTTTAGCACTTTGCAAGGGGCTAGAGCGTCTAGCTTTGGCATCAGAGGTTGTATTTTCTTTGGTTGTATTATCACGTCGTGCAGCTAAAGGATCTGTAGGATCTTGACAGCGGATTTCATCGATTGGACCATGGGCAGTCGCACTTGCATCAGCAACTTTCCAAACTGCAATAATGTGCCTGGGTGCTGTTTCAAAGAGATCAAAAATCTCAAGCTGACCAGTAAGAAAGAGGACAATGTCAGTGCGTTCATAAACTGCAAGTAATAAGCTGTTGCCGATACATCTGGAGACTTTGCCATCTTCAAACCTGGGCTGGTATATAGTCAAGGTTTGATTGCAGCTCAAATGACAATGAACTATACTTGAGAAGTATGGCAACGTCAATAGGCTTTCTTGAACAACTTCACCATGGTTCGACTGTTCAGGGTGACTGAAGGAGCATGACAGAAAGGCAGATTGGTGGTTGAGTATCGGCTGCTTATGAATTAAGAATTCAAGAAGACTAGCAGCTTCTTGTGTTGCTAATTCCTGATTGACCAAGCAAACAGGGACAGCTTCATCAAGAACCGTGCACAACATGTCGCTGCGATTGACACACACATTGATAGACTTGACTCGGTTGAAGCGTCGGCGCGACAATTCGTTATGAGGAAAGGGAAAGAAAGCACTAATTCTCGCATGTTGGTTAATGCCTTTCGCTTGAGAGATAATGTGGTGGTCCGCTCGCATTTCTTTGACGTGCACATTGGACATTTGAGGGTCTGTAAATACATCTGGCTGCTTGTATTGTAACATCCTATCAGTCCCTTGATGATCCTTAACTACACACGGTATTTGCTGCTGAATGTTAGAGTTTGCTAGAAAGGCAACGATTTTCTGCTGTCCTTTGCCTTGTACATGTACTATAGCAGTGCGAATGTTGGAAGCATCGTATTCTTGAGCAAGATATTTGATTAATTCTGGCACCACGTCACCATTGCAGTCAAGGAGTGTGCCGTCATCTTCGATCTGATAGGCTTCATACTTTGTGCTTCCAATGATCTGCAGTTCGATTTGCCAGGAGTCTGGTTGCGCATTGGAGTCGAACTTACATTGAAAGCACCCTTCTTCTTTGCCAAAAGGCAAAATAATATCTTCGTAGAAGAGAGCTTGCCGAAAAGTTTCCAAAAGCATACCTGAAGCATATAAGATCAAAATTGATCTTTTCTGAAAATGATACGGAATGTCCATTGAAAAAAGGATTTCTTGGATCCTATTTTGTATCTTAGTATCAGGTTGCTTTGCATATTTGCGAAAGTCTAGGAAGGCAAAATTCTGATGCGCAAAGAAGTTTGGTAACCGATTTTTACCACTAAACCAGATGAGTGGTAAGATTCTTTGTAGCTCCTGCTTTCCTGGATGACCAATTTCAGTTCTGAGATGTTGATAGACTTGTTCAAGGGGACCAGCGAGTTCCTGAATCTTGGAGACTGAGATGCAGAAAGTGATGCAACTTTGATCAGTAACTCCAAGTGTGGTCTGGACTGGAATTCCCGTTCGATGGACACGAAACCTGACGACACCTGACATGGACTTGATACGCTCTTGCACAGTTGGAGTGAGGACTGCACTATTGCACAACCATGTTTCAGCATACTCTAAACTTGGCGAGATGGCTTCGAAACTATTGATCGTAAAGGAGGAGTGCAAAAGAACAAAATATATACTCTTGGTAACTTTCTTTGTTTGGCCAGTTGGTGCGTAGGAAAATTCTTGATACTTGGATACACAGTGGACTCGCCCTAGGTGCCTTCGAAGCGCTGTACAAACCAGTGATGAGGTCAAGGCAGACTGCGTTGACAAAACATTCATGAAAGAGGCACACAAAGGATAGCTTTTTAGCATCTCGGTACAGTTGGATAACTTTTTCCTGAATGTGGGCTTGGACCTGAAATAAGACAATTGAAATACTCTGAGTACCAGCTAACGCAGTGTGGATGGGTTCAAAGTCATCCTCACTAATAACAAAAAGATAAGCGGCAAATGACAGTGATGTCCTGGCGCCAGGGGCGCAGCTGGGCCGATATGCTTTTGAGAGCTGCCTTACGCTTACACCCATCACCTTTGCAATGGACCAAACCAACAAGGCAAGAGCGCTGCCAGAGGGAGCATTCTGCGAGTCGGGTATAGAAACACTCTGTCTTCCGACTTTCACAACATTGGCCCGCGGGCTTGTGAAAACTGCAAGCGACTTGTAGAAGTCAATCTCATGAGCAGACATCACAGCCCTTCTCAAATCTACCTTCGCTCACTGCGTGGCCATGACTCATATTTGGCTGCCGCCACGCTAACGCAAATTGGTAAGGAAGCTTTCCTCAGCTGCATTGCTCCAGGAGGTGGTTTTTCCCCGAGCTCCAGGAAATCGGCGTCCGCTATGAGGATCTAGTTTTGTCCTTTCGCGATCAGGGATTGCTTAGGAGCCAATTTGGTC